AAACTAATCTCGACAGTGTCCAGCGTAACACAAACTCCCAATTCAAAGCAGAACTGCAAAGAAATTTCAGGCTTTTACTTTTTATTACGTATTGTAAAAAACTGCGCTGTATCAGTAAAGTCATACAGTAATGCATGCTTTTCGGACACAAATTTTCCTTCAGATAGTTTTCTTCATAATTGGTGTATGGCTTCGCGATCCAAGACGGTTGGTTGTTATCACCCTATTTTGGAGGGGTTCCGACAATGATCGAACCCGTTCATCTGGATTTCGCCAACCTCTCTACTGATTCGAAGTTACTCAGCATTAGTGGCCTACCTAAGGCGTATCATCATGCCATCCCTTTTTTTCCAGTATTTCTTCCCCACGTGCTTTATTTGGGTGTCATTAGAGTGAAAACTCATTGATAATATTGGGTTAATTAATTAATATTGAGTTGTTTCGTATGTCTGGAACTCACTCAGTAGCTGAGCGTGCTAAAAGTATACTGACTTACGTTGTCAATCGTCGGATAACAATTTTTTCTATCACCGAAACTAAGTGTAGGCGGCAATAGACATTCCTAACTGTAGCGAAAATAGCATCGTCGTTGCACTCGAAACTCCCCGTTGTGTATCACATCCGTTAACCCTAGTCCCAGCTTACGTGCGAAATTGGATTCTATCTTTTCGTCATATGTTCGTGTATTGATTTCCTCCCATCGAATGCATGGAGGTCAGTTTTGATCGCTGCACAGTTCACCGTACGCGTCTGGCACATAAAACCAGTGGCTCCCTTGCTTCATTACCTGCACACAAATAACTCATTTGTCAGTGTGTACTCGGTGGAGACAAACAATCTGTCAATTAATTATTGAGCGTTAAAACCTCATTGACTGAGTCCCATAAAGTCATGTTATATTACCGTTCTGGAGTTCAAAAGATTCGCTAACTTTACCACAACAGCTGCAGATTATCGTGAAATGTACCATGCCGGTCGCTAGGTTTATGTTTTTATGGTGTATCTGACCACAGTTACTCAACACTCATCTGTACGTCCTAAACTGATAATGGTACACTTATTTCATGGATGATGAGGTTACAAAACGATTTATTCACAGACAGATATATCCTTTCCTTTAGCCTTCCGCTTTATATAAGGAGAAAGCGAGCGCTAAGTGGTAGTATACATTCTAGCGTTTCGATCCAC